AGTGTATGTGTGTGTGTGTGTGTGTGTGTGTGGGGGGGGGGGGGGGGCAGAGGTTAGAGGTGAGTCTGGGACCCGGCGCAGCAACGCTGCTACAAACAGGAAACAAGACGCAGACACGCCAACAAACACAAAAACACCAGTTATTGTGTCACAACACTACTGACAGAGTTGTGTCGGTCCAAATGTGTGAACATTTTAGACAATTCTAGGTACTTTATCCACACAGGGACGGCAGGATTTTCCTCAAACTGTTCAAATCAGGATAATTTGTTATTCTTTTATTTGTTTTTAGTCTATTTGAACTACCGGTACATTGTGATTTATTTCTGCTACGTTAGTTTTTCTGTATGGTTGATAGAAAATGTTTGTCAAATTGAATAAAGCCTGTTGGTCTAAGATTATTCAGGGTAATAAGGAGTTTTCTCCACTTTCTTCAAGGCGATGTTATAGTTCATCCGTCTCGTTTGCTTACTGAAATATAAATGAAGGTTTAGCTGAAATTAAGCAACTAAGATCTGCAGCACGAGCATCTAATCCAGGGGTGCCCAATCCTGGTCCTTGGGGGGCCACCATCCTGCAGTTTTCATCTGGCTACCTGCTCCAGCACACCTGCTCTGAATCAATGGGTGATTAACAGTCTTCTGCACGACATGAAGAGGTGCTTCAACCTTTAAATCAGGTGTGTTGGAGCAGGAAAACTGGTCAAAGGTGCAGGATGGTGCCCCCCCACAAGGACCAGGACTGACCATGAACACCCCTGACATTGTTTTTAAAATGTTGCACTGAGATGGTCAGCACTAAAACGTTTCAAGACTTTTCCTCTCTGGAACCAAAGACACCAGGACGGAGCGTGGTCTGTCTCAAAAGTTAAAAATAGAGCAGGCTGTTCGTGCACACGCTTAACAACGTGCATGTGTAGCATTGTTCTTGTGAAAAGCTGCAGCTGAAAAACTTTTGCGTGTGCTGACACAGACTTGGCTGCCTTTCCTGAATGAATGAAAGAAAGAAAAACAAGTTTCAGACCATTTGAGCACGACCATGCGTGCGCGCGTGTCATACACCTCACGGGGAGCAGGGAGCACCCTCAAACCCAGTCAGGACCTCAGGACGCTCCTCGCACGCACGGAACCGTGAACGACCTCTTGACAGAGCCATCGTCGTGCACTTATTGCGCAACATTTAAAGAGATTACGTAAGGCTTCTCTTGGCTATGCGTGATGACGTCACTTCTGGCATACAGAGGAGACCACGTGTTTCAAGCTGTGATATTTCAATAATAAACACGAGCGTGTTCATGAAGAGCGCACGGAACCAACAGAACCATGACGGCAGGAGCAGAACCCAAACTGAATGTGACTCAATGAAACCGTCAGGGTCCAGGGCAGAACCCCCTCGACCCCACCAACCCTCCCCCCACGTGAAACAGGATCGCAGAAGACCCGTCTGAAGTGGCCTCGTGCAGTCAGACACGTCAAACCAACCCATTCCTCCTGAAAGCAGACCGTGCACGGCACCGTGCATGTAATTTTCACGCGCCTGCACCGGAGCACATGGTGGCTGGATGGCGCTGCTGCACCCAGGTTTGAACGGACCAGGACGGGTCCAGGCCAGCAGGCCCAGCTGAGGTTCTGACCCGGACGGGAGGCGGATCGTGCGGTACTCACCGTCGGCTCGTGGCGCGGCGGACCACGCGTCCACTTGGGTCGTCATGGCGCAGAGGTGCTCGATCAAAAGAGAAAAAGATCCTCACGGTTCCTGCAGCCGCGAGAAACCCCCAGCAGCCGCGAGCCTGAGCTGTGATGGAGTTAAAGCGAGTTTTTTAACGAACAAAAGGAAGACAAACAGACGCTACGAGCTGCACGTGCGCACAGACGACACCGTGTCCCGTTCCCGGAGCGAAAGAGGCCGAAGACGGCAGTCCGAATCCCGAGGACGCTTCCTGCTAACCCGCAGCGAGATAAACAAAGTCCCAGCTCGCTGGAGGAGTCACGTGGGCCAGAGCGCGGATGGGGAGTGGTCAGCAGAGGGGGTGGGGCTGGTCGCATCTGACCAATCAGAGAGCAGGATCGTCCACGTGATCACTGGGCCTCTATGTATTTTAAAATGGTCGTAAACAACACACGTTGATCCATGTCCAGCCCTGTAATCTGCAGAAACTCGGAACTTTAGCGGTCTTCGAGTCCACTAATGAATTATTCCTCTTTTTTGCTCGAGCTGTAGTTGTTTACCGCGGAAGTTTGTTTGTTTTAAGCCGCAGTTTGTGCAGGACTTTCAAGACTTTCCATTAAAAACGCGCGGGGAATGAGTGAGCTGAGTCGAGTCCTCTGGACCGAATCTTAACCTGGTTAGGTTATTACTGAGCATGCGTAAAGAGAGTCGGTTGATGTGTTTGTCACCTGTTCACCAGCAGGTGGTGATGAAAACATGAGTGAAGGTCCAGATTCTCAATGATTCAGGTGGATAAATCTAACCAGGTTGAGTCAGGTCCTCGACGGATTCTTCTGGTCCGGTCCAGACTCAGCCTTCTTAAATAATCTGAGTGAAGGTCCTCTGAGAAGAAACACACCCATCTGCTGCAGGAGCTGCTGGGATCGGCCGCAAAGGTTGCACGTTTTGTCATCCAGAACGCAGTAAACCTAAATACTACCGTAGTATATTCTGAATGGGATTACACTCTATGGTGATCAGTTTGGTCACTTCCAGCTTTGGCCCTGCAGTTTTTCTTTCCCTCACTGGACTCCAGTCCAGCTCGTCTGGTTTTTACAGAGTATGTTCTAGGCAGCCCTACTTCCACTTCTTGACACTTCCGGGTGGTTCTTGTCCACAGTCTGGCTTTGGAGATCCTATGTTGCGTTTGTAACAAAGACACCCGCTGACTGCAGCTCGTTCACGATGATGTTGCTCGCTCGTCATCTCAGATCTTGCATGGTGAGGGCCTTCACAACCAGGCACAGATTTCCAGAGAGGTGTCAAGGTTTTAAAACCTGACATGGATTCAGCTTCTAATACCTCTGTCTGTTCCTAACCTCGTTGACAGCGTTTTCAGAGAAATGGAAGCTGTTCGTCTCCATGCCTCTCCTTGCAGCTGTAGCTGAAGCTTCAGCTTCATTAATCCACCAAAACACAAAGTGACAACTGCTCCATAAAAACAAACACTTCAGAAAAGTTTAAGACATAAGCAGGGATGTAGGCATCTAGATGAAAATGATTTATTTAGACACAGCTGAAGATCTGGATGACAAACATAAAACGTCCTGGATAACGTGCACGTCTTGAATCTGCAGGCTGTTTTATGTGTTTTGTAAGCTTTTTAAGATTTACCTGGTAATAAAATCAACAATATAAAATAACATGTATGCTCTGAGTATGATAAACATGTGACACTATGGATCTCTTGGATGTCCATCCATCCATCCATCCATTATCTTTACCCACTTCTTCCATTTTGGGTCACGGGGGTCGCCGGTGCCCATGTCCAGCAATCACTGCGAGGGACGGGGTACACCCTGGATGGGTCACAAGCCCATCACAGGCCCTCTCTTGGATGTCTTTAGAGGTTTCCTAAATGTCTTTGTGACCTATTGTTGGTTTTTGAAGCAGAACATCGAATAGGTGTTCAGAGCAGAAAACTTACTGGATGATTTTACAACAATTACACTCAAAAATCAGACACGGAGAGCTTGAAGGGACATTTTGACAACAAGATGCAGCAGCCCTTCTCTAGGCCACTGGTCATTTTAGCTGACTTTTAATCCTACACTATTTCTCTACTTATTTAATATGAAGCAGCTGTCGCTCCTCTGCCAGAACAAAATTAAGACTTTTTAAACGTGTGACTAAAGTAAATCTTGTACTATCTGATACAGGTTGCTGATACAAAGCACTAAAAGCTGAACAGCACTGATTGTGAATTTAAACTCTGAGAAGCTTTCCGAGTAATGTTTGCGCGACGCACCAGAACCCCATCAACAAGACACCCACACATGACTTTGGTAGAATATTTATTGTGACACAGATCCAGTTGTTGTTGAACGAAGTCGCTCAGCTGTTTGCCTCAAACCAAACCCTAAAGACATCCAGTAAAGAAACAGGGTTACCACTTTACAATAAGGCTCCCCTTATAAAGGGCTATAAATAGTTTATATATGTTATTAATTCCTCTACAAACGCTTTATAAATCATTAATAACTGCTTATTATGCATTAATTACGGGTGACAGAGACAAACCTGACCAGTTCCTTGCCAACTAGTGAGCCACATGTGTTCACCTGTATATTTAATCTAGAGTTGTTATATTAAACATTTCAAACTAAGTTACTACCTTTTAAGAATAATAAGCATTTGTAAACCTGAGTTTGTTATAATATTGTAGTTTATCACTGCATTATAAGTATCTACAACTAATATTATATCCTAAAAAATATATGTTTACAAATGCTTATTGTGTTTACAAGGTAGTATGTTAGTCTAAAATGTTTAATATAACAACTCTAGATGAAATATATAAGTGAACAGATTTGTCTCATTATTCGGCAAGAAACTAGTCGGTTTTGTTTCTCTGTCACCCTTAATTAATGCATCATAAGCAGTTATTAATGATTTATAAAGTGTTTACAGAAGCATTAATAACATATCTATAAACTATTTATTAAATGCCTATAAGGGGAGCCTTATTGTTAAGTGGTACCGAAACAGGAATAAAACATTTAAAAGTGATTACACATCTGTCTGAAGCACATCTGGACATGAAGAAAGAAAACTGAGCTGACTTAACACTGCATATCCATAAATGGACAGAAGCTTACGCTTTTTATGTTCACCATTTCAAAATGGAAACAGTAAGTTTAAGTTTAGTATTTAACCTCCTAAGACCCGAACTCTTGCACATGTGGATGCCAGGTCCTAGGAGGTAAAGTCAAGTATTAATAAGTGATTCCTGCCTTCAGAGGAGGAAAGAATCAGTCCTTGTGGTCCAACCTCGTGCGAGGTAAGTCTTCCATCAGGCCGGGCCTCCATTTTGAGTTTGGTTTTGTTCTGAACACAGAAACTGCTGAAGATGTTAAACACATCTGAATTTAGAGGAGTTTGACTTTGATCAGGGGTGAAGAAACAGTCTGACTCCAGTTTGCGTCTTGATTGTTTCCACGAGTACAAAATAAAAATCACCCTTCTCAGCAGCCCAGATGTGTCTCTTCTGTACATGATTATTATAATAAATGAAAACAGATTTCAGTTCATATAAATATAATTCTGCTTAAACAAACTTTTGTTGACAAGTTAATCTGTTAAATGTCATTAAAGTGAGTGTTTCAAGTCTAAGTCCAGATTTATACTCAACAGATTTTCATGTTCAAACATAAAGAACGTCACCCAGAGTCATAAACTAATTTAAAATATATTAGTTGTGTCAGGAAGGACATTAGATGTAAATTAATTCCTAAGTATCTCATGTAAGTTTGCTGGCTGTGGTGAGCCCTGCAGAAGGGAGCGGCCTAAAGAAAAACAACTACAAGAAGCAAAATTGCACTTCTTGATAGTTTGCAGGCGTATAATTCTTCAAACTGAGTGCAAAGTTATGAGATGTTTTTGATCTTTAAACAAATAGAAAATTAATTTTTGCAACTTGTTTTTTTCATGAAAGCTGTTTTTTGGATTACGAGGACTGGATGTGTGTCATTAATCACACAGAAGATAATCTGACATTAAAACAGCTAAGAGTCTCTTGTTGAACGAGAATAGATGTTAAAACTGCTGAACGTGTGATCTGCTGCAGAGAGGAGGACAGTCTTCAGGTGAGGCTCACACCTGTCAATCAAACCAAACTGGAGATTCCTACATCCACACCTGCTGTCAGGTCAAACCTTAAAGGGGCGGTCTGGACATTTGTTTAGTGAGATCTTCATTAACTGTCTTTTACGAGCAGTGATTTCAGACACAAAACACTGAATTCGTTTTTCCTCCAGGCTAAGCTAACGGTTAGCACACGAGGGCCTTTATCATATCGTTTTACAGCGTCAGTGGTTGGTGGAGGTTTGGACCCAGGCACAGACAGACACGAGGAGCTCGAAGGTAAAACTAAAAGTACTTTATTAAACGAGGTGAACAGAAAATGCTGCCGAGGCAGCCCAAAACTCTACTAACTAAAAATATGAAAGCAGAGAACACGGAGGAGAAAACCCAAGGAGCTCCGTGACGACGTGAAAACACAAAACGCTGAACTGCAAAACAAACGGAGGAGCAAAGGTACAGAAATGCAAAACCTGAACAACACCTGGTTGATTACAGATCAGGGACAGGTGAGGCGGCAGACTAAAGAGAAAACTGACAAAATGGCACAAGAAACTATCCATCCATCCATCCATTTTCTTTACCCGCTTATTCCATTTTGGGTCACGGGGGTCGCTGGTGCCCATGTCCAGCAATCACTGTGCGAGAGGCGGGGGACACCCTGGACAGGTCTCCAGTCCATCACAGGGACACATAGAGACAAAGAGACAAACAACCATTCACTCTCTCACCCAGGGGCAATTTACAGTTACCAATCAATCTAACTTGCATGTTTTTGGTCTGTGGGAGGAAACTGGAGTACCTGGAGAAACCCACGCATGCACGGAGAGAACATGCAAACTCCACCTATAGAGGTCCCCAAACTGGGAAATGAACCAGTGTAACCTGTTTGCTGAGAGGCAGCAGCTCTACCAGTTGAACCACCATGCTGCCCTAAATCAGACTACATTAAAACGAGTCCAAAACACAAATGGATTCAGGGAAACACAAATAATCCAAGTGACAGTAAAACCAACCATGAAGGGAAAATAAGACTAAAAGATAAATTCAAGGAACTAAATAAATACCCCAAAACACAAACATATGAAAATAACTCATTCCCCATGTAACAAATGAACAAGATCATTGTCTTCTTTTAAAAATACTCAGAAAACTCATTTTTGGTGAATCACACAGTTCTTATTTTGATAAAGCGAGTTTAATATTTATTTTTCCTTTCCTGCTTTTAAAAAAAGGTCACATGGCACCATGATGGTCTGGGGGGAAATAGGCGGGGCTTAACCCACCTTTTCATCTGGTCCCAAAAACACAACATGGCTGCTCCCGTTAACCGGTTCAGGCTGTCTTTAATTCTCAACAATGAGACTAGGCGGGGACATCTGGTCTGTTATGAGACAAATCAATGTTCTGGTCCAAAAGTCTCCTGGTGAACTACGATCAACAGTCTCAGGAGACCAGCGTTCGCTCCACGACACGCACAATGCTCGATTAACAACAACAGCCACAAACTAAGTGAACAAAGTCGTATAAATCAGTACATCTTTAATATTAGTAAATGTAACTACAACAGGCAGCACGGTGGTGAAGTTGGTAGAGCTGCTGCATCTCAGCAAGCAGGTTGCCCCAGTTCAAATCCCGGCTGGGGGCCTTTCTGTTTGCATGTTCTCTCCATGCATGCGTGGGTTTTCTCCAGGTACTCCAGTTTCCTCCCACAGACCAAAAACATGCATGTTAGACTGATAGGTAACTCTAAATTGTCCCTATAGGGGAAAGAGTGAATAGTTGTTTGTCTCATTTATCTCTGTGTCCCTGTGATGGACTTGCAACCTGTCCATGCTGTCCCCCACCTCTTGCACAGTGATGGTTGGACATGGCACCAGTGACCCCCGTGACACGAAAAGAAAGAAGCTGGTAAAGATAATGGATGGATGGTAACTTCACAACTTCACCTTTGGAGACCAGTTAGCCAGTTAGCCTAGACTGAAGGGACTTCAAAAATCACCAGACTGTCTCTTTAAGCCAAAGGCATTGAAGCACTGGTTAGTTTAGTTTGTTGACAGTGACGGGCCTCGGCCTGAACAGCTCAGGGATCTGTTTAAAGAGGTAAACGCTTCCTGTCCACCAGCAGGAACCAGAATAAAGGAAAATGTGAATACTATTGCTAAATACATTTCATCATCAGTGTCACATAAAGTGGTTAGTTGACACTGTTAAAACGACTGATAACAGGACGTAAATCTAGCCACACTTTAATAAAACAGACTTGTTCAGCAGTGAACCACAGAAGAGCTCAGAGTGTCTGCAGCAGTCTAGGCACCGTAACATTTGATTATCAGACACAAGTAATAAAAACCACAAGGAATATTCTTTAGGCAAAAAAAATAAATAAACGCTCAACTTTTGCCTGAAGATGAACAGTCTGAAAACTTTAACACATTTAAGAGACCAGAAGTTACAACAAAGAGAATCTGCGGAGAAACATTGTGAAGATACGGTTAATAAAGGGAAACCCCACGTAACGTGCAGCTGGAACAAAGTGCACACGTCGATGAGTCCACGAAAGCGGACAAATAAAATCAGAACGTGTTCTGAGGCATTTCCTGCTCTGGTGGTTAATTACAGTCCATGTGCGCTGTGCGTCCCAACTGGACCGGGCTCGACCTCAGTCGGAGAACACCTGACATGTCATGTGAACCCACCCCAAATTAAAACCCGCCTCCTTACATCTCACACAAGTATGTGCTGGGAAGGACTCTCAACTACTACCACAGAAATCTTTTGTCCATAAAAAGGCTGAATTAGAGCCACTGTTGTGCTTACTGAGGCTGTGGCGGCCATCTTGAATCAGGTTGACTCCAGCTGTGGTGGATCATCTAATGATTGCTTTCTGACAGCTTCATTAAAATGTGCTAAGACACAAATGAACACACACAGGATCCCCTGCCTTCCATGGTGGTGGGTGAGAAAAAGACAAACATCTGTTTTTAAAACCGTGAGCTGGTTCAATGAGTTGTCTCGCTGCAGGGTTTTGACACTTTTTCAAGGATTTTCAGTCAGTCATTTTGCAAACAAACAGTCTCCATATAGAGTGTTAGTGTATGCATATTCTTTCACTTTCATTATTTGTGACGAAAAGAAGCGTTAGCGTTGCACTACTCAGCAGTCTCAACCGCCTTGCAGACAACAACAAACTGAACATTCAAGCCAAAGTCAAACTCTTTGGTCAAAGTAACAGTCTACATGTGAGCTCTACAACATGCTTGTGCCTTTTCGAACACACGACACCATGAATCCATCACGTCACGTTACGTCTGAACAGTCTCTCTTAGTCACAAATCATATTAGATGATCTCAACATGTCTGTTACAAATCAAATGTTCTTTGATTTCATATTTTCTATCACTTCAGGGAACAGTGGGCCATTATTACTTCTGTTTTTTTGCATTTCTCTGCATGGCAACAAAGTTGTAACAGTGAGCGTTTAGCTGTTTTTCCATTAACAGTTTACACAGAAAACACGGGACATTTGAAACACAGTCACATTCCTGCTCCTGATTTGAATTACTGCATGTCTGCAGATTAAAACAACGATCACCTGGCATGTCACAGACTCTGTTTTGGCCCCAGTTTTAGTTATTGGTTTTGTCGTCGCTCTCATGGCCTCCCGATGAACTCCTGATACAGAACGAGGTCAACATTTACGAGGACAATGCTCCTTTGACTGTCTTTAAGAAGGACAACATGGGTCGGTTCACGTGCATCAAGACAAAGTCATTTATCTGCACTTACAGCTGGTTTTTTTAGAAAAACTAAAATATCATCATCCAAGTCATGAACTCAGCTAAGTTCATATTTTTTTATTAATCTTTTGAACATTCAGCTGTCAGGTTCTCATTTGAAACACACTAAAGGCCCCTCTGTGCCTCCCATGGCTCAACCATGAAGATCTGCAGGACTTTCCTTCAGTGTCTTTCACCTGCAGGTCTTGATCTGTCAGACTGCTCTGAAGCATCACCATCTCATGTTTTCTTGCTTGTTTGATCGTCGCTTAACTTACAACACCTTTAAGGTGATGACGGTCTCGCCAGGCCTATGGACAACCTCTCTGGGCCCGTGGACGGACCCTCCAGGTTCACGGACGGACCCTCCAGGTCCACGGATGGACTCTCTGGGCCTATTGGTGATGCTGCCGGTTGGAGAAAGCCCACCATGTTGCTCCTCACGGTCATCGGAGGGACAGGATCGCACGGGGCCGTTCATGTTCACCCCGCCTCCTTCCTCATTTCTACCTTTCTCTGAATGTCCTTCCTGCCATCCCTCATCCCCACTCCTGACACGACTGCGGCACACTTCGATGCCAGAGTCACCTGTCAGTCGCCGGTGGTGAAAATGGTCCTCGTCGTTGTCTTTTCCGTCCTCCTCTTCCTCGTCCCTCTCCTGTCTAGCCTGTGAGAGGGGAGAGGGTGTTTTATCACAAGGTGGGCCCTCAGTTTTACTTTTCTGAATAGATGCAACATCAAACAGGTCATGAGGGTGAATCTAACCAGAGGGGTGGGAAGATAAGAGGGCACAGTGGGGACAGGGGGAGGTGAGAAAGATTTGAAGGGTGAGAATGCAAAGGGTGAGTAAGAGGGGGGTGGGAGGAGGACACTCCTTGGCTGCGATTAGAGGAACTTCTCTGCAGGGAGACGACATCTGGAGCGTATACAGATATGAGATCAGGCAAAACCTCACATGATGGAGGCGAAGATCACCTCGCTGGGTGTGGACACCCGGCTGCTGTTGAACGTCTCGTCCATCACCTGGATGGAGAAGGAGGCGGTGGAGGGGGAGGTGAGGGAGCAGGACTCGCAGGAGCAGCTGGTGTAGTTATCAGAGCTCTGAGAGGAGGTCAGAGCGCTCAGACCAGGGCCTGGGCCCGGGTATGGGGGACATGGCTGCTGCTGGTGGTGAAGGTAGCAGGAGCTGGGGCCCGCTGTGGGACCCCCCTGGAGGGGGAAGATGGAGCTGTAAGGCGGCGGAGGGGTGCTGGGCTGCGCAACCACCTCCTCGTAGGAGGGCAGCTTGAAGGAGGTCTGGAACGCTGCGACAGAAACAGGAAACAAACGGACGAGGAACCTGTTCTTCAGTTTACCAGCATCAAGATGAGCTTCATTTAATAAATAAACAAACAAATAAACAAACAAACACTGATTCAGTCTCCTCTGGTCTGAAGTCCAAAGTAAAACCACTCAGCTGTTGCCATGGTAACTAAAGCAGTGCATGGTGCATGGAAGAGACCTTCCATTGTTATTAGTTGTTTGCTGAGACAGAGTTGAGTTTAATTTTATTGAACGTAGTATAATAAAAGAATAAACAAAGTTACATAAAAAGAAAATACATTTAAAACAAAAGCAAGCAGAGAAGAAAACAAACAAATAAAAAAACAACAGGAGTAAAGTATATTTACACGTTCAAAGGAGTGGGTAGAAGTATACACTTTTTGTTACACCCACCCCTCTTACATCTTTAGCGTCATCCAATAATTTAATATTCGTGTTAACTTGGTTATAACATTCTGTTTTAGTTAGTATTTTATATATCCATATCTATGCATACATATTTGTATGCCATTGTGATCAAGCATCGATATTTTTTCAACATGTTAAAATTATTTCTAGAGCAATATACTAGAATGCAGTAATAATTGATAAATTAATTAATTGTTAACATCATTAATAATAGCAGTAATAACAGTCATTATTTCCCATATTGATATGCAGTGATGACCATCTTCTTAAATGACGTTTTAAACTGTTTTATGTTTGGACATTGCTGGATTTCCATGCTTAAACCATTCCACAGCTTCATCCCATGTACTGATACACAAAAGCTTTTTCTTGTGGTTCTGAATTTTAAAGTTTTAAATTCACCTTTTTCCCTTAAATTCTAAAGTCCTTCCTGTTTTGAGAAAAGCTTTTGAATGTTTCCTGGTAAGAAAAATATTTTTTTTGCTTTAAACAAGATAACAGCTCTTTGTAATTCCAATATGTCAACAAATTTTAGCAGCTTAGATTTTATGAATAGTGCATTTGTATGATCCAAATAACCGACCTTATTGATTACTCTTACTGCTCTTTTTGCAATGTTATTAATGACTAGAAGTTCTGTAGTTGTTGCCCCATAACTCTGCACGATAACTCAAATGAGGTAGGACTATGAAACAATAACGAATGTTGTGGAGCGTTGTTTCCTCCAGGACATGTTTGGTTTTATTTAAAATAAATAGACTTTTTGACAGTTTATTTTTTATATATCTAATATGAGGTTTCCATGTTATTTTATCATCAATAATGACCCCAAGAAATCTATAATCATTTACTCTTTCAATGTTTACACCATATCTCTTTATTTTGATTTCTTTATGTAAACTACTATTCCCAAATAGCATTATTTTTGTTTTGGTCAGATTTAAAGACAACTTATTCTCGTCAAACCATAATTTCAGTTTGTTCATAGTTTTAGTTACATCATCAAGCAACTGCTCCATATCATCTCCAACAAAAAAGACATTTGTGTCATCTGCAAATAAAACAATTTTAATATTTTGAGTTATTTAGCATAGGTCATTTATGTAAATAATGAACAATTTAGGCCCCAACACTGAGCCCTGGGGAACCCCACAAGCAATGTCCAAACAATCAGAAACAACATTTTCCATCTGTACATACAGTATTGTTTTCCAAGTAACTTTTGACCCAATTTAATACAGTCCCTCTCATCCCATATCTTTTCAGTTAATTTATTAATAAATCATGATTTATTGTATCAAATGCTTTTTTAAATCTAGAAATAGTCCTGCACAAAGCTTCTTATTATCAATTGCAGATGTAATTTCTTCTATAGATTCCAGTATGGCTAATGTTGTTGATTGTTGTGATCTGAATCCGTATTGAATTTCACTGATCAGTTTATACTTTTCCATGAATGATTCCAGCCGCTAATTAAACAATTTCTTTAATATTTTTGAAAATTGTGGCAGCAAAGAAACCAGTCTGTAACTGGTTTGTCCCCAGTTTTGTATAATGGAATTACTTTGTCTATTTTCATCAAATCTGGAAATAAGGCACTGTTGAAATATAAGTTACTGATATAAATTAAAGGTAGTGAAATCCCTTCAACTACCTGCTTCACTAATTCCATGTCAGTTCCATGTAAATCCGTGGACCTTTTGTTTTTGCATTTTTCAACAACATTTAGTAATAATTTTCTGTCACAGGACGGAGAAACATAGAACTGGTATTTTGATTTATTCTTCTGGCCAGATTCTGAGCTGTGTTTGGTAATTCTGGGATATTTTTTGATAACTCAGGTCCTAGAGTTACAAAAAAAGTATTGAAACTATTAGAAATTTGATTCTTAGCATAATTTTCAATTCCCTCACTGAGGAAATATTTTGGATACTCAATCTTATCTGTGTTATTTTTTATAATGCCATTCATGATATTCAAAATTTCTTTAATGTTGTGTTTATTGTTATTTAAATTTTTTTTTGTAATATTCCTTTTTACATATTCTTAAAATACTGATTCATTTATTTTTATATATTTTATATTTATATTCTGCTTCTCTGGTTTTTAATCTTAAGAAGTTTCTGTAAAGCATATTTTTCTTCTTGCAGACATTTTGTAATCCTTTTGCGATCCAGGGAGAATTACAGCATTTATGCTTGTTGTTATATACCCTTATTGGACAGTCTTTATTATAACGCTCCATGAAGATGTCTAGAATTTTTTCATAAGCTTCATTAACATCCTTTTTTTGATAAACACCCTCCCAGTTCTGTATCAACAAATCATTTTTAAGTTGAATTACTGCCTCTTCATTTCTTACTCTCCCATATAACTCTTGCTCTTGATCCCTGGATGTTCTACATTTTTTGTCATTTATAACAAATACTGGTAAATGATCACTTTTGTCATTGATTAATAGTCCTCCTACAGATTTATTAACAATGTCATTTGTGAAGGTGTTGTCAATTAAGGTGGCAGAGTGGGATGTTATTCTGCTCGGTCTAGTGATTTTGGGGTAAAGAGTTAGACTGTGAATTAGGTTTATGAAATCAGTTGTTGGTCTGTGGTTATTGCTGTTAAGTAAGTCTATATTGTAGTCTCCACATATGAATAAAATCTTGCTTGATACGAGAGCAAACATTTTCTCCATCCAGTCGTTAAATTCATCAATATCTGAACCCGGTGATCTGTAGATACACCTTACAATGATATTCTTATCTTTGTTTGCACACATTTCTATTGTTATACATTCCACAACATTATCTCTGGTCATTGTCATTTTTTCCAACAGTCTGAATTCTAAAGACTTATCCCCACTCCTCCCCCATTTTAGTTTTTTCTGTTCATAAAGCTCAATTCATAACCATCAAGATGAAAACCAGTTCCAATATCTGTTTTTAGCCAGGTTTCAGATACTGTGATGATATTGAATGGTTTTGAAAATGTCTGTAAATATTCTTTAATATGATCAAAATTTGCATACAAACTTCTGCGGTTGGAGTGAATTATTTACAGATTATATTTGAATATAAATTCATGATTAAACTGTTCATTAGTGTAATAACAGCAGTTGGTGTCTATGGTGGGAAAAAAAATGTATATCAGGGTCAAAATCATATCCAAAATCTTTGTGTGTATTGTCAGTATAGTCCACTGATGATAATTTCGACATATGAGTTTAACTCTTGTTCTGTGTTGTCGTGATCAAAAGCAGGTATATTTGTCATATTTGTTATGCATGTGTTTACAGTGTTAACTCTATTTCCAACCACATAGTTCAAATATACTTATTCAGCTCTTCCATAATCTTAATGATTAGTATCTTGGCTTCTTCCGGTGTTCCATTTAATTTGATAAAGATTTTGCAATTTGTTGTCCAAGTAGCTTGTATTTTTTTCTGTTTTCTTAGGAGTTGAGCTTCGCTGGCGATATCTGCATTTCTTTTTGTCAAATGTTCGTTCAAGTAAACTTCTGTACCGTTCAGCTTTTTACCTTGTTTCAGCAGTTCAATCTTGTATTTTCTATTCACGAACCTCCTTATTATGGCTGGTTTGTCCATTTTATTTCTTTGTGGAAGTGGGTGGCAGGCTTCAATTTGGTGTCAGCTCAGTGTAATTCCTTTAGAGTTTAGGAAGGCTGTTACTTGTTGCGCAACAGAGTCAGCTGCTCATTTGGTTCCTTGTTATCCACTGTTGTCACTGCCTGTGCGTAGGAATACAGTCTGATTTTTAATCTATGATGTCATTCAGTCTGGTATATTGCTCCAGCTCAGCAACACGGTTCTCCAATGACACAATCTTCTTGTCTTTTTCTATGTTCTGTAACCTCAATATTTTAACCTCCTCCACCAAAGTCAGTATTATTTTTTGTTGTAGTTTAACAACAGACACCTCCTCTGTGAACATGTCAAGAGATTTTTTTAATGTCATCTACCTCTTCTGTAGCTAGGTTAGACTTTTTGGTGGCATTATAGCAGTAATTTAATAACCAATTTTCCTCAGAGAATCTGGCACAATGACTGATGGTGTTACCTTGAAGCCTTCCTAGATGGTTGTTGGATATTACTGTAAGGACTACCTTAGCGGCTAGATGTGAGTCTAGGATGCCTTGGTTAGTGTTTAGGCCTGTTAGTTGGAGCTGGTAGCTGAAGCCAGTCACAGCAGCAGTGGCAGTAGCTCCTGACGCCTGATGGTAGCAGCTTCCAAACCTGGTTAAAGCAGCTCCTGGTGGAGCCTGGGCCTATTTTTTTTTATACCGCTATAGTACAATTTAAGACAGTATCATACTTTTATTATTTCATTTTATGCTAATGTTTATTAAATGTTTTAATGTTAAATGGTTATTGTTGCAGCAGGGGTCTGAGAGTAATGTAATTTCAATCCTGTGTATGTCCTGTACATATTGCAGTTTTTGACAATAAAGTGACTGACTTGTGTAGCACGGGCCTGGTGGAGTATTTTTGTGTAATGAGATAAAGTTTGAATGAAGGAAATGTAAGTTCCTCACAGTAACAAGTTCCACTTTCTTTGTTGCGTTTCTTTGAGGGAACGCGTTTAACGGTGACTCCATCAATCGGATCTGGTCTGAGCCGGGACCAATGCCTGCCATCTTAAAACGACTCCACTGTTAGAAACAAGTGACACTTTTTAAACTTTTACACCTCCTGCAGTTTCACATTGAAGCTCTTTCTGACAGAGGCTTTTCCTGCAAGAAGAACCAGAACCAGAAGTGCTACAGCTAGCTGCTGCTTCTAACCACAGATTTCCCCCAAAAGAACCATAAAAGGTCAAACTTGCAGCGATGCAGAAGTGTTTACATGAATTCCTACAACATTTTGGAGACTAAAGTGGTTCTAAGATGGCAGCAGTCCACTTTGGCTTTGGACCCTGTTGGACCAGCCGTTAGCTCATCAGTCCAGTCCAAATACAATACAACTCTTTTTGTTCTTGTTGTTGTCATTTAAAGGTTTATTTACAACAGATTACAATAATTAATTGTTCAGAGCCTTTTTACATCACAGAGATGAACAGTTTCTTTAAAGCTGGATCTTATTTGCTGGTAGAACATGCGTGTGCCTCTAACTTCAACTGGGTTTAAACTCAGAAAGTGAGATTTAAAGGAAACAAACGTACTGAGGTTCAGCATGGAGGAAGGGTAGGTGGAGGCTCCATCGTAGGCAATCAGATTGATTTCTCTCTGTCTCTGCTGCTGCTGGATCCTCAGTTTGGTCCGACAGTGCCAGTAGGCACAGAAACAGCTGAAGAGGATCAGCAGGGTCCACAACAACCAGAACCCTGCAGCAGACAGGAAGAGGACCATGGATGTGTTTTCAGCAGCTGTTTGCTGCTCTTCATGATGATGTTTCTGATGATGAGGAGAGATGCTCGCTCTCTATTTTAAAATAAAAGTCAAGTAGTCCTTTGTCATCTGATGTAATGATGATTATTATTTAAAAGAACACATTTAGAACATGTAACTCCAGCATCAGGCCAAATTAAAAAACAAACAAACTTGCATTTCTTTCAAAAATGCAGTGTGAATGCTTATTGCTGAAGAACTTGCTGAAAAACTGCTGAAATCAAAGTTAGCAGAAGAAAGAAGAAAGCACATATATTTGCAGGATTAGGTTTGAATAAGCAGAAATAAACACAAAATTCAGGAAATTAGCTTAAAAAAGCTGAAATTAGTAATAAATAAATAAAAACCAGCTGAAAAGGCAGAAAGAAGCTTAAACTACCAGAAGGAAGTATAAAGAGCTGAAATTAGCTAAAAGAAATATGGAAATGTGGCTGCACAGCTGCAGAAAGAAAAGCTTTGCAGAGAGTGGTGAAGGCTGCACAGAAGTCTGTTGGAGTCAGTCTCCCCACCATCACAGATATTCACACCTCCAGATTAAGGAAGAGGGCCACCTGCATCATGAAGGACCCCGCTCACCCAGCACACACACTTTTTGCCCCGCTCCCCTCAGGAAGGAGGTTAAGGAGCATTAAGTGTAGAACCACTAGACTGAGGAACAGCTTCTACCCTGAAGCTGTTAGACTCATGAATCTCTAACTAGAATAATCACTGTGAAAAATCACATCATGTTGCTGCTGATCTGTTTCATGTTGCTGCTGATCTGTTTCATGTTGATGTGTTCATTCGTGCTCATCTGCTCACACAGACTCATGTTCGTGCTGCTGTTCAGCATAATGTTTTTATGCTACATGCTTAGTGTATTATTTAATTTATGTTTTTCTTAGTTCATATTTTAGATGTTATTGCTGTTTTTCTTTTACATTTTATTGTTGGCTGTAACTGGGACCCTGTGTACATTATTTCGTTCACGAACGACAAATAAAAAAACTCTGACTCTCTGAAAAGTTGAAAAAGCTAAAATTAGCAACAAAAAAAAAAAAGCTAAATAGTAGAAAAAGCTGAAACTAGCAGAAACAATTAACTAGGCTGAAAGTAGAAGAAATTACCATGGTAAACTTGAATTTATCAAAAAACAGCTGAAAGTTCCTAAAAAGTGCTATAAAGGTAACTGAAAAGGTGGAACAAGCTTAAATTAGCAGAAGAAAGCAGAAATAACATGTTTGCCCAATTAGGCTGAAAGAAGCAGACATTTGCCAACCAGAAAACAAACAAACAAACAAAAAACAACAGCTGAATAGTAAACAGAAAGAAGCTTAAATTACCGGTTCAAGTAAAGAAAGCACATTTTTTGCTGAATTAGACTGGAAAAAGTTTAAATGAATGCAAAAAATGTGGAATTATCTGAAAAAGCTCAAATTAACATAAAAACAGCTAAATAGTATCTGAAATAGCAGAAATAGCTGAAACTTGCAGAAACAAGTTAGAAGCACAAAAATGTTGTAGTTAGTGGAATAAAGCTGAAAGGAGCACAAAACAGCTGAAAAACAGCTGAAATCAGCTGAAAGTAACTGAATTTTTTATTAGTTTGTTGCACAAGGAAGATGAAGGCAGCTGAAGCAGAACAAAATATGAAAGGAGTATTAAAAGGTTGTAAACAGATCTAAAGATCTGAAGGATGTAAAATGAGCTCAGTTCATTTTCTGCGAGGGGAAAAATGTCAGAAAAGGCAAAATATTTCAAAAAGCTAAAGTTGTACCAATACTAAGGGTCATAGCAGGATTGCCTTGAACGAGCTGAACGTTTTGATTTATGATTTGTTGAAATAGCACAAAAAGTGTGGAACGAGAAAAATGCTGAAAAATGTACGTAAGAAAACTGGATCACAATAGTGTGAATGCTTCATAAACATTCACACTATTAAAGTGACAGCAGAGGCTGTTTACAGGAAGCCTGATGGGATCAAAGTGTGCGTGCTGACTTACACCAGAGTTCATAATAATACGTGCAGCAGCCCGTCTCTCCACAGCAGTGACCCGTTTCACACAGGTAGCCCGCTCTGTTGTTCACTCCGGGACAGAACTTTGGACTGAGCACGGGCTGCCTGCTGGAGCCCGACTGATGCTTCAGAACCTGCTGGATGAAACAGAACGCTGCCACAGAACCACAACGCCAAGACAAGAAGACTTTACAAATCAACCTGTCCTTTTCCACGCCCCGGGTCAAAATCCACAAACCAGTCAGGTTACTAATAATGTGCAAAGATCTGGTGTGGTAGTAGCTGAGGCTCATCCACAACAAATACTTTAAATGATGCTCTTTGCTAAAGGCCTTATAACTAAAGCTTTAGCATTACCTGATGGACTCCACCCCATTTGTCTTTTAGCAAAATAATAAATGATTACATTTTAAAGTGAATCCATTTCAAGATGGCTGCCACAGCTAATGACATTACACAACACAAAACGACTCTGTCAGTCAGTTTCACTGATGTTGAGCTAAAGGTTGAAGTGGTAGTAGCTGAGAGTACTTCTGAGCGGACATCGTTCTCACCTCATCAGTTGTGCTCATGTCCACCTCCCTCACAGACACCTGCAATGAGACATGACACAACAGATCTACGTCAGGAGCTGATGCAGCCAAAAGGCCGTTCGGATTCACTCTGACGTTCAACACATGAAAGGCTGGATGATTTCAGAGCTGCAGGTGAGCTCAGGAACATCCTGAACCACAGCAACAAGACAGCGGTGGCAGAAATCTACTTCTGTCATACACACAGTCGCCAAGATGAGACTCAGAAGCATCACAGGAGTTAAAGCATCTCCATGGCAACAACTTGGAGCAAAGCTCTGAGGCTGCTGAATGATGTTTACTTCTGGTTCAAGGCTGAACATCTTACCGTGGCATCTTCAGTGGCAGCCAGGCCCTGCAGGGACATGGTCATCTGAAGGAGAAGACACGAAAACATCAAGGTTAGGACGGAGACACCACATGAAGGACATTTTACTGTAACACAACAAAAGCACCGTATGTCCCAGTCACAAGCTGCTGACTGCACACACTAAAATGGAAGTCGGTATCTCATTTATTTTCCAGGTTATCGTGCTCACAACGTGCACGGACGTCTGGACGGAGGGCGGGTAATTCCCCTCTTTGCTCCACTACGGGGATAAAAATGAGCCACATATAGGACTGAGCAGCTGATCTTGTCGACTGTTAGAAACAAAACCAACCAAGTCCCGCTCTCAGTCAGACCGTTTAACAATCAGTTGTTTCTTTTGTTGTTTTTAAGAGAACTTCATGTTTTTAAGGAGCTGGTATCAGCGACACTGACCACCGAGTTACTACAGCCACCTGTGAGGTGTGCTTTTTCTTGTTTTATCATAAAAAAATGTCTGAAAAGGCTTCAGTAAAAGACTGTTTTGTGCTGAGTTTGTGTTACTGTCATGTTGCCATGACAAACTACACTCGACACAACTTTTATAACAAGTAGAGTGAAGAAGAGGAAGTGTGGAGTTATTAAACTGTCAGGCGGCCTTCCTGCGGTGAGACCACCTCATCTCATCCATCACATGCACAAGACTCAGGTGGATTTCTTCTGGTTTCCACACAGAGTCTGGATGAACCACAAACTGAGCCTCCATCACGCTCCCCAGAGATCTGCAGACATCCAAAGTGAACGTTACAACATCTGAGGTCTCACAGCAGCCATGTTTCCTTCAGTCACCACCTCAGAAACATCAGGACAACACGTGAGACTCACACAACAACCCAACTGTTCCTCCGCTTGTTTAGTCTTTTCTTGTTTGACAACTGAATAATTTCTGCTTTGTCAGCGTCCTGCGAGGTGACACAAATGGACCAACAACTGGCTGATTTTCACAATGTGAGGCAGCATTAATGCACGAGGGGGATTTCTGTTTGTGTTTTCAAAGCTTCATGGGCTACCTTCAAGGCAGGGGCGATCCTAGAATCTGCACTTGGGGGTGGAGAGGCTTAGCCCCCACTACTGACAATGGCTTTTGGCTGGGACACCGTGGTGGCCATTAGCATCAGAAGCATTTGTAATATTGGGGAGGGGAGGGGGACACTGGTGGGGGGTCTGGGAGTCTTCCCCCAAAAGATTTTGAATAAAGTAGATGCCATTTCTTGCATTCTGGTGTATTTTAACGGGCTGTAAAACATCTATGTTTACCTATGTGTAAACACTTGATTCAGTAACTATTTTAGAGAGCAACAAGAAGTAGCCTGACCAACAGCTCTCCTTGTGTGACTAGAGCACGCGCCACTTCTCTCGTATCCTAACACCCCCTCCCCCATCAATAACTGTACGGCAGTGCACAATACAGACACGCTAGCTAAGATGCTACAGATATGTAGTGCTCAATTTCTCTCATGCATCCTAACCACTGCAGGACAAATTGAGAGCGCTGACTGGTCAGTTGCTGACGAGCCTACTGGATTGATTGACAGGTGGCATTGAGGATTGGACTCGAGCAAAATAAAAATTAAAAAATCATAGATTTTTCTGGCCCAAAAGACTGTCATTTATTCCATATTTATTCCATGTTTATTCTATATTTATTCCATGTTTATTCTATATTTATTCCATGTTTATTCAATATTTATTCCATGTTTATTCAATATTTATTTAATATGTTGGTGAATTTAAGGTTTGAGAACTGAGTTTCCTTATAAAATCCTGATGGTTTCTTTATTTTTCAGTGGTGCTGAGTTAAAATTTAAGGGTGCTTGAGCACCCCCAAAAAGAGGCTAAAATCACCACTGCTTCAAGGATCATTTTCTCAGGGACAGCGTGGAGTTTTCACCGTGCAAAAACAACTTCTGGACTTTACAAATCCATGGTCATGAAGACCCCTGAAACGTTGGTTACGTACTGTAACCCCAGATTCTATGAATATAGGCGTAGCCCTTTAAGGCTGTCGCTGATGGTTTATCCCGTTATGCGCAGCATAAGCACTGAAAAAAAATTAGTCCACGCCCACCTGCTGTGTGGGCCCCACCCGGTCCGTATAAATTACGTTAAGAGCGGGAAATCGGCTCCCAAAATAGCTTTTTTCTTCAGCCATTTAGGAGCCAGTGAGGCCCGACGCTTAAAGGGCTACGCCTATATTCATAGAATCTGGGGTTACAGTACGTAACCAACGTTCTATTTCATATAGGCTTCGCCCTTTAAGGCTGTCGCTGATGGTTTAAGGGCGAAGCGGATGTGGTCCTCGCCTCACTGGGTCCATTCGAACACAGTAAGAAGCGGAAGCTTGCCCAAAAAGCGTCTTGTCACTCAGCTCCCCGTGTGCATAAACTACGCATCGCGTAATTATGTGCCATGCACAGACGCATGTTGTGTAACTATGCGTTCTGACAAACATGAATACCCCGGAAAAACTTTCAACGGGAAGAGGAAGTTTAAAAGAGGGGGGGGAGGGGGGCATGAACCAACTGGTTCATGGCTGAACAGTATAAACAGATTAATGTCCATGAATTGATCAATAATCAAATGAACTGATTGTTAACAATAATCATGAACTGATTAGTGACAATAGAACCAAAATCACAGACACGACTGTGACTGAAAACAACATCTCACACTGTAATGCATGCAGACAGAAGTGAGCTCAAACAGAGTTCCATGAGAACAACAATATTCATTCTGTTAGGGCACTAAGGACAGAATGTGTCATGGAACGAGCCGTTACATCACGTAGGTAAAAGCGAATAAATGAGCAGGGTGTTGACCATGCAGCCGCAGTGCAAATGTCCTGCATTGACATACCATTATGCAGAGCAGTCGAAGATGCGATACCCCTGGTCGAGTGTGCTTAGAGGTTGACAGGAGGCCCTAAATCTGATGCTCTGTAGGCTTCAGAAAAAATGCCTCACACAGCCAGTGTGACAAGCGCTGGATGGATAACGGCGACCTGCAGAAGCATCTCTATAATGCACAAACAATTGTTGAATTTGAACGCATTGCAGCTGTGCGCGTTACGTAACACGTCAACGCCTGCACCGGGCAGAGAAGATGAACAGATGCTTCCCCTTCTGATCTGTGGGGGGGAAAAGACCCCTCCAACGACATCACTCTTGATTTAAAAGAGCTCGTGATGTTTTAGGCATAAAAGCTGGGTTGGTCTTAAAACAGCTGAGCTGCCCGTCAGCCTAATTCTAAGGCATGACGAAACAACAGAGAGGGCAGATAATTACTTACCCTCTTAGCGGGTGTTAAAACCAGCAGCAGGACTGTTTAAAGAGACAAGAATTTAAATGAAAACTGATCCAGAGGCTCAATTGAAGCTTTGATCAGGGCTCGCAGGACCAGCGTTAAATCCCACTGTGGAACAAGTGGGCATGAAACAGGCCTACATCTCTGTACACCTTTTAGAAACCGCTTCATCAGCGGGTGATTAAAAGCTGTTCTGTCTCCAAACCCTTTGTGGCAGGAAGAGATGGCTGCAACGTACGTTAAAGCGTACTGAAAGCCAACTCCCTATCCATCAGGTGTTGTAGAAAAACAACACGCTGCCTAAAAGGCATGAAGTGGTCTCTAAACCTTCTCTGTACACCAGCGCTGAAAAGCCGTACCCTTGATGTGTACAGAACTGTGGTAGATGCAGCACGTGAATCTTGAATTGTGCACACTATCTCCTGAGGGAGACCCATCCTCTAAGTGGGACCGCTCAGCGGTCAAACCCACCGGTGTTGACCTATTTCTGGGTAACTCTTGGTCGCTCCTCCTGCCTGAAGGAGAGCATCCTTCCTCCACGACAGTTCCACGGCGACCCCACAACAGACGTTGCAGGCCTGGGAACCATAGTGCGTTCACACGCCGGAAGCCACCAGGAGAGCTGTCAATCCCTCCTCCTGAACTCGGTTCATGGACCGTAAAAAACAGAGGAGGTGAGGGAAAAGAAACGCGTAAAAAGCGTTTTGGGCCACCGACTGTGAGCAAATGCGTCCCCCCCCCAGCGATGGATCGTCTCGCGGGCTCAGGGAAAAAACCGTAGTTGACATTGCGCGTTCTTCTCGCGTCGCAAACAGGTCCACAGCTGCTTTGCCAACTTCTGCTGTGTCTGAAAAAACATCAGATCCGGATGGAGGATCCGGTCCACATAACGTGGGCCGCCCTTGGACGTCACATCAGCCCCTCTGTTCAGAACATCGGATATGTAAACCGCTCTAATAAAAGCAGGTTTGATGAACCCAACTCAGTAGCTTCCGCGCAATGTGTAACATCTGGGCTGAACGCACACCCCCCTGGCGGTTTATGTACGCAGCAGTCACCATGTTGTCTGTGTGAATCAACACGTGTTGATTCTGTAGCACGGGAGCAAAATGTTGAATCACATTCAGCACTGTGCGACACTCCAAAACATTGATGTGGGCTGATGTGCGGTGGGGCCACAGCGCCCCTACTGCTTGAGATAGGCATGTTCCCCCCCCAAACCTGACAGAGACGCGTCCGTGAAGACTGACACGTGACGTGGGTCTGCTGACGGGGACTCCCTCTGACAGAGCCAGGGTGTTTCCCCAGTGTCGGAGGTCTGCTCCCATGGAGGGAGGGACAGTGATCATCCGTCTCTTTTGTTTTACTGGATCCACACGCAGACGCGTAAACCACCTCTGGAGGCGTCTCATGTGTAACAAACCCAGCGGGACCACTGTGTGAGCTGATGACGTCATTCCCAACAGCTTCATGACGGAGACAGCTGTTACCACTTTGCCAGGTCTTACGTGGCGTAATTGGTTTTTAGAGTGTCGATTCTTGTTTGTGATAAACGAGCCGTCATGGTAATTGAGTTTAATTCCACTCCCAGATAACAATTATCTGGGCCGGGAAAATCGAGCTCTTCTTCCAGTTATGGCGAAACCCAGATTTAGCAGGTGTGATGCTAACACCTGAGCCTGTATCAATGCTTCCTGTCTGGAGTGAGACAGGGGCAGCAGGTCGTCCAGGTAAAACAAAACTCTCATCCCTGCTTGTGCAGTGGATGCAGGGCTGTCTCCACACACTTTGAGAACGTACGAGGCGCGAGGGAGTACCCAAAAAAGGCAACCTGTTGTACTGGTACTTCATCCCTTGAAAGGCGAAACGCAGAAATTTTCTGTGTTTTGGGATGATTGGTGTGTGAAAATAGGCATCTTTTAAAACGATGGAGACAAACCAGTCGTTTTCCTGGATGTTGTCCAACAGCTGTCTGTTCATCAACATGTGAAAAGATCTGTTCATGATCGCTTTGTTGAAAGCTGACAGATCCAGAATCGGTCTCATCCCTCCGGTCCTTTTGGGGACCAGGAAGTAGCGTGAGTAAAACCCTGTGTTTTCCTCCTCGTTGGGAACTCTTGAGATTACACCTTTTATCAGAAGCTCTTGGACTTCTGCATTTAAGGCTGAGACTTGGTCTGGTGATGACAGGACCGTCTCTATAACTC